TGGGCTGCAGTTATATACGTGAAAATTGTCACTAAAAACCATGCCAATATGCTATATATAATAGTAAAGGATGTAAGTAAAATTATTAAAAAGAGTGAAAATAAAATTATTAAAAAGAGTGAAATTTTATGGGTTGAAATTACTGCCACGTGATCAATGTAAACTTTTATGGACCAATTATACATGCAAATTGGGCTTCATGTACTGATAATGAATGAAATTTTGAGCATTCAAAGGGGTCTTTTTTGGAGCACCTGCTTCACTGCTTGTTATTAAACTATAATTGATACTGCGTTTGTTGTTATGTAGATGCTTGGTTATGGTTGGGCTGGTATATTTAGGAACATCTTGGTTGATTCCCCTTACATGTGGTGGCCTGAAAACATGGTTGCTGTCTCTCTCTTCAGGTTTCTTTCGCCCTATCCAATACTCTTGTACATTTTCTGTTGTCAATTAGCTACAATCTTGAAGTAAGATGTGTGATCAAGTTCTGAAACACATACAAAATAAAAAATAAAAATAAAAATAAAAAAATCTCGGCGCATTTAATAAACTTTTGTTTGAAAACAAGCTTGGCGAGCTCGATTAGGTATTCATCTCCACTTGTTTAAGTAATGAGCAAGCCGAGCTCGAGATTTTCACCAGTCGCAAACGTCTTAACTCTACCAAGAACCTACAGCGTTATACAATAATTTAGAGCATTTTTCACTAAATACGATCTTTAAATNAGAAAAAAAAAAAAAAAAGCAAACATCATACAGATTTTGCAAAAACGTGGGAAATTTTACGGAAAAGCGATACGTAAAGAAACAATTTGAACCTGTTTCCATTGTTCATATAGTTGAATTGGTGGGCTTTGACACATCACCCAAAGTTTGTACGGCGGTTTGATAAGTTTGTATAGCTACGTGAAAAAAGCACTTGAACTTCAAATGCGGTTTCAATTTTATCTTCATATCTTATATCATAACATCCTCACGTTTCAGTTTTTCAATTGCGTTTTTTCGCAGAGCCTTGCACGAGAAGGAAGCCCGAAGCAAAAGAGGCCTAACCCGCCTGCAATTCTTCCTAGTCGCATTCATATCAAGCTTTGCGTACTACATTGTCCCTGGCTACTTAGCCCCTTCATTATCCTCTATCTCCATTCTATGCCTCATATACAAAGACAAGATATTCCCCCAACAAATTGGGTCAGGCATGCATGGCATGGGAATTGGCTCTTTTGGCCTCGACTGGGCCACAGCCAACTTCATAGGCGACCCAATTTCCACACCAGGCTTTGCAATCATAAACAAACTCGTCGGCTTCTTCTTTGTCATGTACATAATGACCCCATTGGTGTACTTCAACAACTTGTACCATGCCAAGAGGTTCCCGATATTCTCAAGCAAAACGTTCGATGTGAGTGGCCACTCGTACAACATCTCCCGTGTACTAAATGATGCCACTTTTGATCTCAACTTGGCTGGATATCACAGTTACAGCAAGTTGTACCTTAGTGTTTTCTTTGCCTTCACATACGGCCTTGGATTCGCTTCGCTGTCCGCCACCATTACTTATGTTGTGCTCAATCATGGGAGGTAATTAAATTAAGTGGTTTCGACATTTGTGTTTATTTAGTAACTACATGTACTGATGAAGGTTTAATGTGTATATGTAGCAATATATGGGCTATGTGGAGAAAGACAAAGGACGTTAAGGGTAGTAAACTGGATGTGCATGGGAGATTAATGAAGACCAACTATGAAGCTGTGCCAAACTGGTGGTTTTACTCGATTCTTGGGGTCGTTTTTTGTCTCTCTTTGTGGGCCTGCGAAGGTTTTGGCAAGCAGCTCCAACTCCCTTGGTGGGGGCTTATCCTGGCTTGCGCCATGGCTCTGTTCTTCACCCTACCAATCGGTATCATTCAAGCCACCACGAATAAGGTACTGTATTATACAGAAAATTAGTAGATTCTTCATTTCATTTTTCTTAGTGCTGTATTGTTTGTAACAATTGTTTTGCAGCAAATCGGGCTAAACATCATAACCGAGATGGTGATTGGTTACATTTATCCAGGGAGACCCCTTGCGAACGTTACTTTCAAGACCTACGGTTACATAAGCATGTCCCAAGCGCTCGGGTTCGTAAGTGATCTCAAATTGGGCCAATACATGAAGATCCCCCCCAAGTCCATGTTCATCGTTCAGGTTCGCAAACCGAATCCAATCTCTNAAAAAAAAAAAAACACGATTAATAAATTAATTTTGAAAACTACGATATGATCCAGTTAGTAGGGACCATAGTTGCATCGACCGTGTGCTTCAGCACGGCCTGGTGGCTACTCTCGTCCGTCGACAACATCTGCAACACGGCCCTTTTGAAAGACGGGAGCCCGTGGACCTGCCCTGGGGACGAGGTCTTCTACAACGCGTCCATCATATGGGGCGTTATCGGGCCCCTGCGGATGTTTGCGGGCCAGGGAGTGTACGGCGCCATGAACTGGTGGTTCCTGGTGGGCCTTGTGGCCCCTGTCCCAGTCTACCTGCTCGGGCGCAAGTACCCGCACAAGAAGTGGATAAGTCTCGTCAACGTGCCCCTCGTAATGAGCGCCACTGCCAGCATGCCGCCGGCGAGGGCCGTCAACTTCATCATGTGGGGGGCCGCGGGCATCTTCTTCAACATCTACTTGTATAGGGCCCACAAGAGGTGGTGGGCCCGCCACGCGTACGTCCTGTCGGCGGCCCTCAACAGCGGGATTGCCTTCATGGCGGTGCTTCTGTTCTTCACCCTGCAGTCGAAGAATATTGTGGGTCCCGAATGGTGGGGGCTGCAAGCGGACGACCACTGCCCGCTGGCCACTTGCCCGACCGAGGCAGGGGTGGTGGCCAAGGGATGCCCGGTCATCCAGTGACGGGGGATTTTTTTTTTCTTGAAATATTAATAATTATATCTACTACTACTGCACATATACTCGTTTTTTCTTTTTGTGTGAATTGGAAAATAGCATTTTGCGAGTACTTCGTACGTACTTACTACTGTGTGCGCAACATTGTGTGTTGTTGGTACCCAGCAGCCTATGTTTGGTGAAAACTATTACCCGTATTGAACAGTAAACTTGCATTTTCAATGTTCTGATAGTTGTTTGGGTGAAGTGTTCTATAACTGTATCGTCTCATTGAATTTTAAGCCTTTCTAGTTTCTAATAGCTACTAGTATGAGAAAATTTGCGATGTGCGTCTGATGAAGGCATGCAAAGCTTGTTCTCTTCACCGTGAAGGAAATTTCAAAGCTAAGATATCAGTTATGAACACCATATGAACAATGTTATAATGAAGATGTAAAGCGCAAAGCTATTGAAAAGATAAAAGATACTGAGGTGAAGGAAGTTTCATCAGGTGCAACACCTTCAAAAACAGCAGATGAGGGTTCAAACCAGAAGAGCAGTACTCACAAGTCACAAGTCGACCAGTTTCTGAGCAGGATTTGGATGTTTTTCTTCTGGGAGATCTGGATGATGGAGATGATGGTCCGGATTATGGAGACAATGGCTTTGATGATGATTTTGATAAAATAGAACTTGGAAGATGACAAATAATGGCAGCCAGAAGTTATGTTTCACAAAGAGCAATCTTAAGAAAATTCGCCACAAAAGCTCCCAATTTATTTATAGTAAATTCCGGCTTCTCTTGTTTCTGCCATTGAATTTGTCCAAGTTGTATCTCTGTTTCTGATATTCTGCTTATTCAATTTATTGTGGATGCATAAATCAATGNAAAATAATAGCTTAATAAAATGATTTACTATTAAAATATTCAATCTAAATTGCAAAGACCAAATCAACCCTAATAGTTTTATAAAATTACCTACAAATGGACCTCTTCTTTATATTTTTTTGGTACAAAAAAGGAGGCAAAGCCTATATCACAGCTATGGCAGAATGCTTCGAGGATAAGACACTCCGGCAATATCGTGTTGTAACCATAATCCCGCCCCCCGGAGGAGGACGCTCCAGTCTATGCAATCCACCCGGGCCCTTAGCTGCCAAAGACGCCAAATAGTCAGCCACAAAATTGGCTTCACGATAGCCATGATTAATCTTCACAACCCATAGGCGGCTCAAAAGATCTTTAATACCTTTCAAAATACTCCCATGCGGCCCGTTAATGTCATCCTGCTGTACCATCGCAATAATACTCTGGTTATCAACCTCCACCGTGATTTTGCGGGCTCCGATGTCCCAAGTCAATTGCAACCCCTGAAACAAGCTCCATAGCTCTGCCCTAAACCCAATATTCATCACAAAACCACTAACCCATTTCCCCTGGTGGTCACGAATGACGCCACCGGCACTAGCCATCCCCGTCGATGGTGCAAAGCTACTTACCTTGAGCTCATCCACCGCCGGAAAAGACCAAGAGATCCAACGGTTTTCACGTATCCCACAGGCACCTAATTTGCCGCTACCGGCCAAAGCACTTCGAACCTTACCCGCATAAGAGGAAATCTCACTAATCCGCTGGGCCAGGGTGGTGTCGGAGCCCTCATATACCTTGAGATTTCGCCATCTCCACAAACGCCACATCGTAAGGCCAAACACGGCTTCCCAGTCGTCCACGTCCGAAATCATTTGGCCCAATAAATTCGTCGAAAGCCAACGTCTAAGGTTCAAGGAGAAAAAAGCGGTCCAATGGCTACGCGGGACCAATTTTTTCCAAGTTTCGGTCGCCACCACACAGTCCCATAACACATGGAGTGTGGTTTCACTCTCCACAGAGCATACCGGGCAGCCCGCGTGTGGAGCAAGATGTCGCCGGTGTCGGACTTTGTTCATTAGCAGACTTTCGCAGGCGGCAAGCCATAGAAAATGACGAACTCGCTGAGGACGACCTCTTCTTTATATTAATTAACTATATACATAAAAAAAAATTATATTCACTTAAGATTCGGTCTTTCAAGTTATTTGTTTACTCAAAAGCACTTGTTCTTTAGTACGAACGAGGAAATTCAGTGTGAGTAATTAAGTATCGGTGCTAAATAGGCACGAACTTACCAAACTAATGAAGAAACAACACAACACTTAATGTCATCAAATGATTAAACATGATTGGTCTAAATTCGACCACAATGTAGTTAATTCAACTAATATCCATCCATTTTGTATGTGAACCATCAAAATGACATGCTAGTTGTCCATTTCATACGTGAAAAATCAAAATGACATGGTAGGCTTGGCAGAATAAGAAAACTATGTTTAGTAAAACAGTACTTGTTTTTCTTCACCATAGTACCAGTGTGGTGAAGTTCACTAGGACTAGCCCTCTTGTGTTTAGTACCATCTTTGGTCAACGAACATGGATTTCTTGTATTTTGGTTCACGTTTATGAGGCCGATACCTAGTGATGTGCCAAAAATATTGACTCACAAGATTGTCGGTTTAACCACCTCGCCTCAATTGCTTCGTCTTGCGAACTGGATCAACCTGAAAAAGTGCTGAGGACAGGGTCCCGGCGTAGACACTCCGACGCTCAAGTCAAAAAACTTATATCTCAAATGTAGTGTAAATGAGAATCTTATTGAGGGCTTAGGTTATGAATTGAACCTAGATCCCTTATTTATAAGGATTTAATGACTTACTCCCCAAGACAATTGATTTTCTTAATAACCAAGGAGTTTGACCCTCTAGAATCACTATGTAAATATACACAAGCTTACTTAGATATCTCTCATGAATGTATCCTAAATCTTCATAGGTATTAAAGTAATACTGTATATCTTTATATTGTACTAATCAAGCTAAAGCTCCCTTGAACCAATCGTACTCGAACTAACCGCCCAAACTACTCCACCGAGCTATTCTAAGTGCTACATTATCTAGTCCCTCCACTCTAGACGAGCTTGTTAGGGTAAGAGTCGTCTGAGAGTGAAACATTATACCTTGGCCAAGTCTATGGCATCGATGCCCTGAGCTCGTCTAGGCCACATTGTCTACTACGTCTGAGTTCTACTACGTCTTGCGTGCAACTATGGCGCTCAAGCCAACTTTTCACTTCTCTTACCCTTGTGGTCTCTGAGCTAACCTGCTCAATTTTTTGCCACCTTAACACGTTTGGCAGTCGAGCTACCTGCTCGAGCTATAACCTTGTCATAACCATGACCTCGTTATTTTATGACCTTCAGAAAATGAGATCTCTTTGTCTGTCCGAGCTTCTGATGGAGTCCAACCTTCAAACTTTCTATTCAAGGGAACCTGCTAGTTGAGCTTCATACACAAGGTCCCTGACGAGGTTGAGCATTGAGGCCGAGCTAAGCTCCCTTGGACCACCCGTACCCGAGCTAACAACTAAGGTCGGTCTACCGAGCTACTTTAGGTGCAATAATGATAGTTGACCTACTCCCTTTATGGATGCCTTTCGCTTTTCTCGTTTAACAGTGAATGAATGCATCTTCAAACATTAGTGAGCTCGAAAATATTTACTCGCTCTGGTCGTCGAAATACTAAGCCACCTAATTTCTTAGGCACTCGAGCTACTCGTTCGGAATCCATGTCTTATATAAAAACTTCAACCTCGTTCAAGGGGAACACAAAAAGGAAAAAATATGAGTTGTCAACCTCAAGAAAAAAAATATTCGAAGGTAAGTACTATAATTGTTAAAACGAAGGTCATATTGCAAAAATTTTTGGTCGCCGAAGAAGCTTGTAGAAGGTAATGTAGCCAATTAAATGAGGAACAACCTTAAAATAGTATCACACTAATTGGAGATGAAGCAGATGAATTGTACCTTCCCCGTCGCTTTTGTTTACTTCTTAGCAAACTCAAGTTAATTTCCATTATACCACCTTGAGTTTGAGGGAGTGTTAGTTATGCAAAATGTATTCTTGTATTGTACACTAGGTTTAGTCCCAACCTTAGGTTAACGTCCATCTATACATGTCTTTGTGATAATTCATCAGATATTTTTCCCACATTCTTACAACGATGATGTTCGTTGGGCATATCGATTCCCATGATGAGTTGTGAGATGACTTTGGAAGCTCAAGGGACAAAACATGACACATGTATAGGAGTTGGAGAATTCAACCAAGGATATGAAAGGTCAAGGGGTGATAGTTGAGGAATCGAAGTTGCCAATCGCTGACACAAGTGCGATAAAAAAATTAATGCGATTGATACAGAGACGTACTTTACTCCAAGAGCTAGTAAAGTAAACAAGAATTAACGGATTATACTCGGCAAAAAGGAAGTGAGTAAGTACTACAAGATCAATATAAAGTTCGCCATCAAAGACTAGCAAGAGTACAAGTACCAAGTCCAAAGTACGTACACGGGAAAAAAGTTTAGAGGCTCAAACTAATACGACAAAACATCTTTGGGCATAATTAAGGTGGCCGAGAATAATGAATGGATAAATGTCGATGGTAAAGACAACGAAGTGCAGCTTGGTGGTAAGACTCTTCACCCTATGACGATAGGTCATTGGTTCGAGTTACTGAGGAGGAGAAGTGGAAACACTATTGATCCTCCTTTTTTAAAATAAGAAATGTCGATGGTGAAAGGGAGTGTTAAATAAATATAGATCGAACACCAACTTTAACTCCTAAATAAACCAAAAGATTAATTTAATAAATTATATTAGAACGACCGACAGACTTAATATTGTTAGATCAAAGAATTATGGCGGGTTTCCAATGCATGGAAATTGGAAACATATTGATGGCGGTAGCTTCTACATAGCAAATATTCGTAACAAAAATTTGTAATAAGCTGAGTGCTAGATAGCAAATTGATTGTCGGTTTACTTCACCGATTTTAGGGAGTAGTATAAATAGCACATTTGTACTATGCAAAAGTGTGTGAACTGGAGAGTTACTCGAGTAAAATAGGAGTGAGTGCCCTAAGATATTGGTGAGATGTCTTGTAAGTCTTTGCAGTAAAATTTGTGTAATTTACATTGTCAAACATAATAATAATAAAAAAAAAAAAAAGTTAGGTTAATGTTGTTCGTGTACCCAACCCAACATATTACATTACAATGGCCTTGTTAATCATTCCCATCCACATCCGAGTAGCATCACAGGACAGGGCAGCCCTTGACGACCACCCCAGGCTCGGTAGGGCACGTGGCCAACGGACAGTGGTCGTCCGACATCAAACCCCACCAGTCGGGCCCCCAGATATCCCTGGACTGCAGGGTCAAGAACAGAAGCACCCCCATGAAAGCAATCCCTGCATTGAGCGCCGCAGACAGCACGTACGCATAGCGCGCCCACCACTGCTTGTACACCCTATACACGTAAATGTTGAAGAAGATGCCAGTGGCCCCCCACATGATGTAGTTGACTGCCCTCACCGGTGGCATGCTGGCCGTGGCGCTCATGATGAGCGGCACGTTTATGAGCTTGATCCATTTCTTGTGCGGGTACTTGCCCCCGAGGAGGTACACAGGGACTGGGCCCAGGAGGCCAACCAGGAACCACCAGTTCAAGGAGGAGTACACACCCTGGCTCGTGAACATGCGGAGGGGACCAATCACCCCCCATATGATGGACGCGTTGTAGAAGACTTCGTCCCCAGGGCACGTCCACGGGCTGCCTTCGGGCAAAAGGGACGTGTTGCAGATGTTCTCCACGGTCGAGAGGAGCCACCACGATGTGCTGAAGTACACGCTCGATGCAACTATGGTCCCAACCAACTGCCATATGTCCAAATTTATTTTATGATTTATTGAAAAAGGAAATATATATGTAAACGTGTGGAATAAATGCATGTGCGCGTTTGCAGACCTGCACGATGAACATGGACTTGGGAGGGATCTTCATGTAGTGACCCAATTTGAAATCACTCACGAACCCAAGTGCTTGTACCATGCTTATGTATCCGTACGTCTTGAAAGTAACATTTGCAAGGGGCCTTCCCGGGTAAATGTAACCTATGACCATCTCAGTTATGATGTTTAGCCCAATTTGCTGCAAAACAATTTTTTCAAACAATATGTTTAAATAAAAAATAATAATGATGAGCGGCAAAATCTATTTTCCTCTATACCTACACATCACATTTGACATGTACCTGGTTCGTGGTGGCTTGAATGATGCCGATTGGTAAGGTGAAGAACAAAGCCATAGCGCAAGCCATGATAAGCCCCCACCAGGGAAGTTGGAGTTGTTTGCCAAAACCTTCACAAGCCCACAAAGAAAGACCAAAGACGACACCAAGAATGGCGTAAAACCACCAGTTTGGCACAGCTTCATAGTTTTTCTTCATTAATCTCCCGTGCACATCCATTTTCCCATGTATGCCCTTCATTGTTTTACTCCACAAGTCCATAATATTTCTGTGCACATATTTGAATAGAAAAATATATATGTCTCCACTCATCAGTACACATCTCTAAAGAGAAGAAGGAAAAAGGGTGGATCTTGGTAAAAAATGACAACATCAAAAGTGCATTTCCATTGTTAAGTGAGAATTGAACTCAGAAGTATGAGCAGAAGAGAAAATTTGTTACTTTCCAAAGAAATATCCTTTTCATGGAGTTTATTTATAGGGGTGTCCAATTTCGGTGCTTGAAATATCCAATTTTGGTACCTAAAGTTGATCTACCTTTCGCTTTTAGAGTTTCCAATTTATCAATTCTGTATCCCAACTCTGATCCGCTTCTGTAGTATTTTCCATTGATATGCCAATGTTTGACTGATGATATAGCTGTTGGATTTTCACAAATGTTAAGTACTTTCTTATCATCGACTGGCAATCCTCTAAAGTTTTTGCATGCGAAATAATCACCGCTAGAAAGTTTGAAGACCAATTTTTTATGATTCAAAGTCCAGTCGGCGATCAAAATATTAAAATTATACTTTCTAATTTCTTTTCATATATAAATCCAACAGCCAGATCCTCGGTTAATTGTTGTTCAACTAATATAAAATAGAAAATGTGATAAATATATAAAACTTAGGGTACCAAAAGTTGATTAAGATGATAGTTGAAATGTGACTTACTTCCCATGATGAAGTGCGACATAACTAATAGTAGATGTGAGGGCAGCAAATCCAATGCCATAAGTGAAGGCAAAGAAACTGCTGATGTACAGCTTGCTGTAACCCTCATATCCGGGCATGTCGAGGCTGAAAGTCTCCTCATTCAAAACACGTGAGATGTTATAAGGATGGCCCGTCACATCAAACGTCTTGGTCGAGAATATGGGAAACCTCTTAGCGTGGTACAAATTGCTAAAATAAACCAATGGAGTCATAATGTACATGACGAAGAAGAAGCCCACGAGGCTATTGATAATGGCAAATCCAGGGGTAGAAATGGGATTTCCAAAGAAGTTGACAGTGGCCCAGTCAAGGGCGAACGAGCCGATTCCCATTCCGTGCATTCCCGACCCTATCTGTTGTGGGAATATCTTGTCCTTGAAGATTAGGCAGAGGATAGAGATTGAGGATATTGAAGGAGCAAAAAAGCCCGGGACAATGTAGTATGCGAAGCTTGATACGAACATCACGAGGAAGAATTGAAGTCTGGATAAGCCTCCTTTAGTCCTCACTTCTTTCTCGTGCAAAGCTCTGCCGTAAAGCATAAGTGATTTGTTGTATTACAACTTATAAAAGGTAACACTTTGAAAACTATAAAGTATTCGAGACAGAAATTGCACTTGAATAATTGAATAACCTGACATCAAGGAAGAAAAAAAAAACATGCGAAAAATCTATAATTATTAATTCCACTACATGATTGTTGCTGATTGTTTCTCTTGTCTATTTCTATTTTTAGAAATACGAGAATCAATGCTAGCTAAATACAAACCTGAAGAGAGAGACAGCAACCATGTTTTCAGGCCACCACATATAGGGGGAGTCAACCAAGATATTCCTAAATATGCCTGCCCACCCATAACCAAGCATCTGAACCAAGAACCAAGGTGGCAGACAATTAGATGCATAAAAAATCATAAAAAAAAAAATTAAATAAATAAATAAAAGTTTCATTATCAAAATCATCAAGCTCAAATTGCAAAATCCCTCCATAATTCTAAAAGTTTACATACTGTGATCTAGAGCGGTAGCCATTAAGTTTCCTCATTTTAATTCTGTTATTAGAAACTCGGGGAAATTTATTTAATTTGTTCATGCAAAATCTGAATTGGTTCCACATTCAATCTATTCCCTATAAACTCTATTTAAAAAAAAAATCGAAAAATGCTATTTACCTGCGTGGTCTGAGCCAATAACCAAGCGGCCAGTGGATGCAGCTGCCGGTGATAGAAAGCCCTAACGATTGTAACAATAGAAATTGCATAAACCCCCGACGAGCCACAGCTGGCGAAGATGGTGATGAGGACGTGCTCCTTGAGGTTAAACGGGCCCGGGTTGAGCGAGAAGGCCCAGCCCAAAAACGGCACGGTGAAAGTTGCTTCCGGAAGAACCCTTGCCAGCAGCCTCCCCAGCGGAAGGCTGACCAGCTGCACCACCACAGCCGAGACCGACAGGCTGTTTTGCCGGTAGCCAAAGAACTGATTGATGAAAGATAACATCACGCATGATGTCAGCCCGAGAAGCCACGTGCGGAATGTGAGCACCGGCAAGGACGGGTCGTCGTCTGGCGACACCGTCAGCCGGACCTCCTCGATCGGGCAGTCGTTCTCCTCTTCCACACCTATGCATAAACAAAATATTAACCTAAAAAAAGGCTAAAAGGTAAAATATAGTCAATATCTTGTACGGGTGCCAATAATAGTCACCATCTTTATGAATTGACAATATTAGCCAATAACTTTCAAAATTTCGAGATTATTACTCAAATCCAGCCAAATTCGACAGATAAATTGCAAAATATAGCCAGTGTTTTTTTACGCAGTGACAACAATAGACATCGAATTTGGTCGGACATGGGTAATAATTCCAAAATTTTGAAAGTTGTGGGCTAATATTGCCATTTCGTAAAGATAGTGGCTAATATTGCCACCACGTACAAGATACTGACTGTATTTTGCAATTANAACAAGGTAACGAGAGTATATAATAAATATAATCATTTATATATCCAAATTTTGAAATCTGAATAAAACCATTTATTTCGAGATTGGCGTGAGGCTTTTGTTTCTCCGCAACATCGTCGTCGTCAAGGATGGGTCGGCCATTGATGCCGGCCATTTAAATGTTTGCTCGGTGTTTATATGTTCCGAGCAAGCTTACAAAGTAAAATAAATTTTCGGACTCCCTAATGAAAAAATTGGCAAAAAGTGTTGGTTATTATAGGTTTGAGCACCTGCCGCTTGTGGAGGAATGTTTTGTGGAGGTTATTCATTCTAAGACAAATTTTAAATTAAGTAAATGAATGTAATTTGTAATATGGACGATGTTCAGAAATTTCCTTTTATTAGGTACAATGAATATAATGCTTTGTAATTTGAAGTCTTGGTTAAGATTCACATCATGTAAGTTTCATTTTTATTAGATACATGTTTTATAATTTGTGTTCTTGGTAAGATTCGCTTTCTGCGCTTAGTCAGATAATAACGTGTGAATCTCATTTCTTGTTTCATGCACTGTGGGATATAAATTTAAAAGTGAAAATATCTAATTTCATCCTGAAATGCACTAGGTGAAAATTTTCATAGAGGAGAATTGAAAAAAATAAAGATATATATATATATATATATATATATATAGAGTTGAGATCCAATGAGAATGATAGATAAGGAAAGAAATAAGAATAAATTTATACCATTAGATCTATCATGTGAACGGTCGTGATCGAGTTAAAAGTTAATAAGTGACAGTCAAACATGTATGGTAATATTGTAAATAAGTATAAAGATTAGGTCAAATATATCCATTTGACCTTTAAGTAAGGGTAAAGTGGACATTACATAACATTACAACTCATTAAGTGGGTCCCACTCAACCCATTCTATTTCTCTCACATACAAACACCTACTCACATCCCACTGACGGTGAAAACACACACACATGTTGCAGCGCCGTCCGCCACGAGCCGCCGTCCGCCACCGCCGCCACCATCCTCACCGACGTCGTCAACTCAATCGCGCCATCAGTCGGGACACAGACCCTCCGTCATCCCGCCACCAACCTCGCCGTCAATCGACCAACGACATCGCCGTCAAACAGTCACAAAACCAGCGACAATTCCTCCATCATCTGCACCGCCTCAGTCGTCCTCCACGCCTCCGCCGTCGCTCAATTCAACCATATCCTTATCTCCTCCGGTCGTCGACTAACCATCGTCGTCTCCACAGATCTGAAACAAATTTCAAATCGGTCGGGGTCGAGAACTTCATGGTCGTGGCTACGACCCAGAAACACAACTTCAGTCTCGACCCGGCGACGGCGACCTGCACGGAGTGGGGATGGACGGCCGGATTTTTTTAATTTTTTTTGGCTGAGGATAATGACTTCAGGCCGTGAAATGAAAGAGGGAGTGAAATTTTTTTTTTTTTCCGAAACGATAGATAAAACAGGGAGTGAAATTGATTTGGGGTTATTATATGAAAATTAGATAAAGGATAAGATAAAGGATAAGCACTAGATTTCAATTTTAAAGAACTTTAGTTATAATATAATTTAATAAATTAGTTAAATATTAATAATGTATTATTAGAAACTTAATAAAGGATAAGGTGGTCAAAGCAGTGCACATTACTATTCGGTATTTTGCACATTAACGATGAATAAAATGCACAATAGTGTGTGTGTTACACATTAAAAATTAAAAAAATCCCAAACTTTTTTTATTTATATATATATAATATATAAATATAAATAAAAAAATCTGTAATATTTTTCATAAATTTCGGCATGTTTGGTGATTCTATTTATTTTAAAAAGTTAAATCCGACATTGAACAAAGTGTGTTATAAAGTGCAACGTATTGATGTATAATGTGCAACGTATTGATATATAATGTGCAATACTAAAATTTTAGTACGTTA